TTATAAGATTCTATTAAATCAAGATATGATTTTGGAGTGACATAAACATTTCTTTTAAGAGCAGCATAAAATTCATCACATTTTCTTTCAACACTTTAGTGAACATGAACACACATTTAATAAAGATTTTATCTCATATCTTTAGTAAGACCATCAAATTCTAAAGTTTCTAAAAACATTTCTGCCACACTCATCAATGCTTCTTATGGCCATTTGTGTAACCATTCTATTGTACAACAATTAACTAAACTTGGAAACATTCTTAATCTTACTCTTAATTATCCACCTATTGGTGATAATCCTAAAACAATATGTAAATTTGATCTAATTTTTTAGACAAAGTATGGATATATATCATTAATTTTTAATTCTCTAGCTTCTGCTTATAATCCTTAATTAATAATCTCTAAATCATCTTTAGTCAACATATTAGGTACTTCACCTGAATTAAGAAGATTATTAACATCTTCTAGAAAACCTTCTTATAATATCTATGTATCTGAAAATGAGAATGCAACCAATCTATTATCAATTCCTACTGCACACATCATTCTAAATAAATCTTCCTTAAATTCTTTCTTACCATAATTTTTCTTACTCTCAATTGTATCTATTTTGCATCCAGCCAAAACAGCTCCTAGTTGTGTCAAAGATTTCTTACCAGAACCTCCAACTCCAACTAACATATAATGTCCTCTCTATTATCTTAACACTCTACTTATTCTAGTCAAATGTTCAATTGCATCTTTGAATAACACTAAATTCATCTTTGTATATTCCATCATGTATTCATTAATCACTTTTATAAGCTGATTGTAATCTCTTACTTCTTCATAAATTCTATCAGATAACTCAGCTCTTTTCTAAAAATCTGCAAAAATAAGAGGTGGTTATGAATCAAATAATTCATTGACTTTATATTCAATCTTAAAAAATAAGAATATGTTTTTAACTAAGTTCTCTTTAAACCAATCTTAATCTTATGAATTAATTAATCTATCCATTAAAACTCTACATGTTTCATGTGCCCATAATCTAACCATTTATTCAGATTTCTAATAAATCATAGGTTTTGCTTATAAAATGCCTTAGAAAATCTTACTAACATCTCTAAGATTGAAGACATAATGAGATTTCTCTGGAGTAGGTAATAAGGCTTTTTAGATTTCAGAATACATTTATAGAGTTGCATTAACAATTGAATAGTTTTCACTCAAATCCACGATTTCACTCTTGAAATGATTATTTTTTAAGAATGCCTTTAAAATAGTGCTAAAAATCCAAGATAATGTTTCATCACTTGAATTAGGCACACTTAATAAAGCAAAATGACGAGTAAATCTAACTGTTATTGGAGATCTTCCTCCACCTGGGGGACCACAAGCACAAATTAGAATAGTATTATCAACATCCTTCCAATTAAAGCTTTTTCTATCATAAACACCTCTATAATCTATAAATTATCTTAATAATTCAATTGGTGGTTATGCACCATATTATTCTAAGGCAGGCATATTGACATCATCTACAAAAACTACAAACTTTTTTCCAGGAGGAGGCATCAAAATAGTTCTTCCTTTTTTACGTTATGTTTATAATTTTTATTCAATACTTAATTATGTTGTAAAACTTGCTGTTTTAGCTGAGAATGTAATCTACATTAAAGCTATAAGACCATCATCTCTTAATTTTTCAACAGTAGAATTAACCATAATAGTTTTACCAGTTCCTGTAACTCCAGTGATAAACATAGGACAATTTGTATTTACTGCTTATTCCAAAAACCATCCATGAGCAACTGTTTCTTTTGTCTAAACAACCATATCAAAATAACTCATTCCTTTTATATACTCAAATTGAGGAATAATATCATTCCATTATGTATAGTTTATATCTACCAATCCATCAGTTTTTGTTATTCTAACTAAACAAGCGAATAGAGATCCCCTAGGCAAAACCTCAACTGGAAAAGTATCAGCTACAATTCTTTCAAATTTTGAATAATCATCTGAAATAAGAGTTGCACCTACAGACCAAGCAAATACCCAAACAAATATTTTTTCAATGTGTTTTTTTGATATTTCATCCCTTAAATTACAACTCAACTATTAATTATAAAATTAAATGACCATCCTCAATAATTTAATTAATCCAACAGCCATTTAAGTTTCATGTACTGGTATTAATTACTTACATGATTTAATAATCTAATTAATTGATTTATTAAATGACACTTTTATTTAAATCAATAAATGATCTATAATATCTCTACTCAAAATATCAATAAGAGTCATAGCTTCTGTCATAACTATAGGTTCATAACCTAACACTTTATCATCCAAATACACCATACCACATCTACTTACTGTTGCAGGTGATGCCACTGCCAAATCTAAAACTTCAAAAATCATTCTCATTTAAGTCTTTAATTTAATACGCTCACCATTACTTAAACATAAAGTCATTGAATCATCCAACACTGTATTCATATTCTCAATCCATAAAGCATCTACTGGCCCATCAAATACAACCCATTTCTTTTCTAAAGTTTCTGATGATGCATATCCTCTCATTATATTAGATGCTAAACCATCAGTCCATTATTAAGTCATCATATCAAATTATCCATATAATTCTTCCATGGATATTGCTTTTGGGTTCAAAATTTAATGTTCCACTATCTAATATATTGCATGATTCTTAATCCCCTTCAAAGAATATTACTCAAATAATTTAATATAAGATTCCCTAAGTATATTTTATACTTAAGATTTACCACCCATAGTCACTCCTACCAACATTACTCCAAATCTTACTTTCAATGTTTCATGGAACTAAATTACCTTTTCTATAAAAGTATCTTATTATTATAATTTATTAAGATCTATAATATTCTTTATTGCTGTTTCTAATTCTTTATTTTGAACAGTAGGAATTTACATACCTGGAAACAGATCACTTACTATTGCATTAAACAATGGAATATCATGAGACAAAAATTTTGGCAAATTACTTTCCCTCATAGCTCTAATCAATACAATATCTTCATTAATATTTGGTTCTGCTCTTTTTAATGATCCAGCCATCACTAAAACAGATTTGACTGCTCTCATACCAAAATCATAATGATCTTGCTGACTCAATTACTCTGAACTTAATTGATACAATTTAACCATTTTTCTTGATAAATCTTTGGCATTTGAAAATCCTTCAGCAAATAACATAATTTCAGCAATCAATCTATAATCTGGAACCATCATAGCTACTGGTCTAAAAAGTACTTTCAAATTATCAGGTAATTCTGTTCTACCAGCATAACCAGGATTCATTGTAATAAATATACCCAAATCAGGATTCAATTATACATTTTTACCAAAAAAATAAAAGTTCATTTTATATTCTAACAAAGCTTCTCTTATAGTTTATACTTATTGTGCTATGACTGATAATACTTCAATATAGATTCTATTAAATTCATCTAAACAAACCCAGGCTCCACAATATGCCAATCCTGCAAATAGTTTTTCCATCATTTTAGCTGTAATTTAATCTGAACAATTAAATACTATACAATATCTTCCCAAAGCTTTAGCTAAATCTTTACATGATTCTGTTTTTCCTGTACCAGCTGGACCTTATGGTGCTGCTCCTAATTTAATACCCAAAGCTCCTGTTATAGTCATCCAACATCTATCAGTCAAAGGAGTGATAACTAATCTTGTAGTAGATCCCAAAAACTCATAGCCATACATTAATTTAGCATTGACTTATTTTGCATGCACACTTTCTTCATCATGATAAAATCTCAATTATTATTACCACTTGAAATCCATTATACCTTCAACAGATTCATTTCTCATATTATCCACAATATCTCTGAAATGAACATCTTAAGTGACCAATGCAACAAGAGTTCTTCTTTATAATTCAGTAAGATTTCCTCTGATTAATAATGTCAATTCATCAAGCATTGCTATATTAGCATCATACCAATCATCTAAATCACCTTCTGCATCTGCTTATAAATAATTTTCTTCTGTTATTTTAGTCCAAAATATAGAATCAATAGTAATAATAATTTATAATGGAAATTCAAATACCCAATCTTTTCTCTATGTATCTTCTAATTAATATTTAATTAAAGATTATCTCATAACACCACTTAATGAAGATTTCATTTTATCCTCTAGAGCTTTTAACCAATCTTCCACTTCCCCTCTTGCTGCATATCCCTTAAGAACTGCAATTTCTCCTTCAGCAGATATCATTCCAATAGCATTTTCTTATGAATCAAACTGAATTTTTACTAAGTTTTCAAAACACTTTCTTAAATATGGTTGAATAGCCTAAATATTTTTTGCATTAGACAAAATTTCTAAAAGTTCATCATTTGATAAAAAGTAAAATCTTTAAAAAACATCTCGTTTCTTTTCTAAAAATTCATCCAAAGCCTTTTAAATGACATCAAAATTATTATTATTTTATCTTAATTAATTAAAATATAATCTATTTTAATAATCATCTGCCCATTTTCTAGCTATACTACTATCTCTAGCATTTCTCATTATTTTTTTCCATTGAGTATCAGCTTATTAAAATATTTTGGATTCCTTTGCTAAATTCTTAGCACTATATGGTGAATTTAAAATAGGTTCCAAATATAACCAATTTCTTTGATGTAGCATCCATTCATCAAATAATTCCTAGAAATATCTTAATAATGATTATTATCTTTCTACTTCAGGTCTAATACCTTCTACAAATCTTGATGCTAAAATATTATTAACAGTCAATAATGTATCATCAATTTTAGATATCAAATCTTCATTATTTCCTAAAATAAAAACATCTTTTGATTCTCTATAAGGTTGTACTGTAATAACTGCTGATCTCCAAATAGATTCAACCTATTCTAACATTTTAACTAATTCTATTTCTTTTGCTGCTCTTAATGCAATTTCACTAAGCTTGTCTTTTACCTAATCTAACCCTGCTTAAGTGATCCATAAAACATTATATTTAGGATCATTTATTGGTGTAAATGGTTCAAGAATAGGTTCCTTAAATAGCTATTAATTTTCAAGTATCATAGCTCTTATTTGATTCCATTACTTTTCTGAAATTGCAGGATCTTTTAATGCTTATAAAACTTAATAGACACCTCTAAAACCTTCAATATCTGACTTAAATACTCTAGCTACTTCATTTTTGTCTAATTCTTTGGCACATAAATTAGCTGCCTTCTATAATTTTTCCATTAGATTGTTCATATCATCTAAATTTATATCTGTATAATGTTATTTTAACCATATTGAATAATTTGAAATCCATTCATTTCTTCCACACCACAATCTCTCTAATAAAGTGAATTCATTATTAAATGCTTCCAATTTTTCAAATGGTGTATATTCCATATTCAATGCTATTTAATAATCATTCAATTTTTTTGCATGAATTTTTAATTCATCTACTTGCTTTCTTACTCCTTAAACAAATGTTACCATATCCCCTAAATCTGCTGCTAAAGAACTCAATGGTTATTCAGAAATTCTTTCATTTAAGTCTTTTACTGTGTTATCTACTTATGGTATCATTCTTTCCATATCTTTTCTAAATTTATTTAAGTTTTAATCATAATTAGCCATTGCATCATCAACTTTTTTACGAAGTTAACTGACTTATTAATTACATTCTGCAAATTTTTATTTATGTTTATCTTAAATCTTAATACGTAATTCATCCATAAGTAATGCCATAGCTGTTACCTCTTATGAGACATTGCTTAAATCTTCAAATTAATTATTAATTACATTCACAGCCTCCATATAATTAACAAATTATTCTACTGTTATTGGTGATATAGCTATAGTTGAATATAATTAAGTGGTTTTTTATGTAAAGAGTACTGCTTTCTTGTACATATATTCAGGTATGAATTTTTATAATTCTTAAATGCAATTCATAGCGCTAGATTTAATTTGGGCTTTTAATTTTTAATTATCAAACAATATCATTCCTATCTCTTGAGTAGGTTCAATATCTTAAAATTATTGATCTTATTCCTTATATAAGTTAATAGCATTTCTATATTCTTCTACTTCTTTATCAGCAAATTGTTTTTCAATATTGACTCTTGTATTATCAACATACCATTTCATAAATGGTTTCAATTTTTCAGAATATGATTCTAAAAAATCAAATGCAATTTCCAATTCTTTTCTCATTTAACCACATGCAATTTGGAAATTTTCACTTCCATTTATTATTGCTTTAACATCTACTTTTTCTGATTGTTAATTGCTTTCATCTTGAATGTACTGTTATAATTCTGGCATAGACAACATTTCTCTATGTCTAGTAGTTATACGAATAACACTATTAGTAACAACACTTTCAAATATTCTGAATAATTATTCCCTCACAGGATTAAACACTATATCTTCCTATTTGCCAATTGCCTCAATAATTATCCAACATTAAGGTTAACCTTTACCATAATATCCTTTTCTTTTTACTCCTGAACTCTCTTTATATTATTCATTAAATTCACGAATCTATTTAACAATGTGTTCAACTGAATTCTACATCATCTATAATTTAGCATCTATTATGATATAATCAACATATTTAACAAATTTTCTTAATCTTTTATAATGAGTTCTTATAGTAGCCTCAGTTGTGTATGGCATATCTTTTCCTGATTCATCACCAACTAATAATGGAGCTCTCTCTTCATTATCATCTTCATGAAGTGGAATACGATGAATTTCTTTAAAATTAACTAAAGATTTCTAACAACATTCCACAATTATTTATTTAATCTATTATTCATATGAATCAAATTTAATATCCATAATAGACATTAAATGTTTATCTTACAATTATTTAAAATTTTCATGGGTTTATGGAATTGTAGTTGAAGTATCTAAAAATCTTATATCTTAAGCCATTTATTAACATATCCTACGAACTTCTAATAATGTGATTCTTAATTATTTGTCAGTTGAAAACATATTAGATATCATTAAGTCTTGATTTTTGGCTAGGATGTTTTTCCTCATTAATCTCTTCCATAAGAAGAAATTCTTCCATAATTTATATTTTCTAAAAAAATCTATTTTTTAAAGATCTTAATATAATTTAGCTTCCCTTTGCCACTCCTCTATAGTTAAAAATGTAGCATCATCATTTTGAAAATAAGTGATACCCTTTGCACTAATTGTCATATATTCTTTTGGATTTCTATCCTCAAATTCAACAATTTAATAATCATAGGCATGATCTCTTTTATTTAAATAACAGAACTCATCAGCCATTTCAGGATCAGTTCTTATCAAATAAATAAAGTCCATAGGTGATAAATACGATTGTTATTACTGTTTCTTCTTTGGTTTTCTAAGTGCTTTCTTAATCATCTATGTTTCCTTCTTTTTTTCAGGTTGTTACAGCAATCCAATGATAGAATCATTAATAGTTGAATTAGGGTTTTACACATCTTCTAAAATACTCATTCCATGATCACTTAATAATCTATGACCAAGAGGTGACAAATTCTTGGGTTTTTTGAGCTAATCTTGTATTAAAATGTCGCTTTTAAAGTCTTTAGTTATTAAATCATCATTTACTTTTTGTAGATTGATGACCTGATCGATCAAGTAAAATTCTACCATTTTGAATGGTTACACCTAGAGCTGAATGAGTTTAGGTTGTAGGCTCTAATCTTTATTTAGAAACTTTAGGCACTAATTAAGGCAAGGAGATAGCTGACAGCTATTAAGTGTATTTTCGTTCATTAGGATCATAACGATTACTATTTTTATAAAGTCGTCCTTTAAGCTATCCTTACGAAAGTTGTTCAAAATTGAAACGTTTATTATTGTCACTATCCATAATAAATAATTAATATATGGACACTGATTTATAAATATTTAAATATGTTAATATTAATAGAGACTCCAGCTGGATTTGCTCTCTTCCAAGTAGCTAATATCAAAACTCTTAATAAAATAGACAATATATATGATTATTTGTAAAATGAAAAACAAGCTAAAAAATTGTAAGCTAATCTATTGTAATATTTTCAAGAATCACACCTTTTGCTTTCCAATAATTTAAAGATACCTAAGAAGCTCTAGTGGCTACCAGTAAGTTAATAAATGGAAAGATTCCAAAGAAGTTAAGTAAATTTTTGGAAAAGAATGTAATCTCTTAAGAAGTTTAAGATTAAATAGCAGGTAAAATGAATTTATTAAACTACAGTCTAAGACAAAAAACTAGCTAAATAGCTCTAAGAACAACTAGGATTAAATTGCATCTAAACTCCTGTGACTGAACAATTATTTAGAGGAATTAGATCTTAATTAACTAATTTAATAGAAGGATTAAGTGAGTCAGAACTTAAAAATATGACTTTGGGTTTAGCACATGGATTATCCAGATATAAACTTAAGTTCTCTACTGAAAAAGTCGATACTATGATTATTCAAGCTATTGCTTTGCTTGATGATTTAGATAAAGAAATTAATAATTATATGATGAGATTGAGAGAATGGTTTGGTTGGCATTTTCCAGAACTTGGCAAAATAATAACAGATAATTTAATATATGCAAAAGTAGTCAAAGCTATAGGAATGAGAATAAAGACAAGTTCTACAGATCTCTCTGGTATTTTACCTGAGAATCTAGAAGCAGATGTTAAATAAGCTGCAGAAGTATCATTTGGTACAGAAATTACAAAAGAGGATGAAAAATTTATTCTTTGTCTTGCAGATTAAGTTATTGAATTAACTGAATATAGATTCTAATTGTCTGAATATCTAAAAAATAGAATGTAAGCTATTGCTCCTAATCTTACTACAATGGTAGGTGAATTAGTTGGTGCTCGATTGATTTCACATGCAGGTTCTCTTGTAAACTTAGCTAAATATCCAGCTTCTACTGTTTAAATTTTGGGAGCTGAAAAAGCATTATTTAAGGCTATTAGAACTAAACATAATACACCTAAATATGGTTTGATCTTTTAAGCTAGTTTAGTAGGAAGTGCTCCTGCTAAATTAAAAGGAAAGGTTTCCAGAACATTAGCAGCAAAAACAGCATTATGTATTAGATATGATGCTTTAGGTATTAATAAATCATTTCAATTATTATAGGAGAGGGATAAGATGCTGAATTTGGAATTACTAATAAATCATTTTTAGAAAAAAGAGTTCATTAATTAGAAGAAGGAGTTAACTATAGAGATGTGAAGGCTCCTTAAAGAGGAAAAGCTAAACCTATTTAATCTCAAACATAATATTAAGAAGATGCTGATTTTTAACCATAAGGTTCTAATTGGATGGAAAAATTCCAAAAAGGCGAAGATAAAAGACAAGCTTCTCAAGATATTGTATAAAGAACTTAACAAAAGAAGGTGAAATAATAATGAAAGTACATTTTAATCAACGAACTTCATCATTTAAGACATCTGAATCTTCATGATAGTAAATGTTACTCTAAGCAATTCTACTTGAACTTTCTTCTATTATTTACTATAATACAGGATTGGGATTTAAATTTCCTCTGTATTACAATTATTACTCTAAGACTCTTTAATCAACAATACTTAACAAATATCTAATTTTATCCTCAGCTATTTTTAAATCTTGTTCATATTTTTATTTAATTGCTCTTTTCTCATTCTCAATTTAAATTAATCTCTAATTATCACTATGTTAAGAATTAATTCTTGATTTATTATATACATCCCTCTTCAAATTAGCTATTTCTATTAATAAAGTATTAATCTAGCTCTCATAATTAGCTTTCATATTTGCCTTTTTTTAAACATCCTCTTATAATTCCAAACATCTTTATTATAACATAGTCATTTCTAAGTTTTATTTATGTATATCATCTTATAATTATTTATATGATCTCTCTAATAAACTCTAAGAAGTTGCTGGAATCAATTAACCATTTTATATCTATTATGTTAATTAATCCAATGTATTTGCCTTCTCGTAGAGTTATCTTTCTAATTATTGTAATTTAATCTATTAATCTTACAACTTAATATTCTTATCAATAAGCATTGAATTCATTTTCTCTGTTTCTATATTATGTCTTTATAATTTCAATTTATCTATTTCATTTTATTTAGCTTCTAATAGATTATTAAGAGTAGCCACTTAATTTTCCATCTATACAATTGATGTAGCTACAGATTCTTTTATTTATCTCTATAAATTTAATCTTTCAACTTAAATTTGTTAAGCATATTTTTCTTCTGCAATCCTAATTGTATTTTCATTAATTAATCGTTATGTATCTATTTGAGCCTATAAAGCATCAATCTCTTCTAATTTTTAATTAAATATGTTCATGTAATTAACTCTAATTGTTTCAATATCATTTTCTAAGATTTCACTTTTTTATCTATATTGATCTGCTTCTCTAAAACGTTCTTTCAATTCTTCTAATTCTTTATTCTTTTCATTTAAAAAGTGAAGTGCTTCCAACTTTTCAGATTTTATCTATTTCATAAAACTATCCAAATGAAAGCATTTTTATCTTTCCTCTTATAATTCTTAAATCTTAGTCATTACTTATTATCTACTACTTTCACAATCCTATGCTTTCTACATTAAAAGTTAATTCAATTTTTCTATTTCCCCTACCAATTATTCCATTTTTTCTTCATATCCTTTAATTGTAATAAATTAAACTCTATTGTATTTACTTCTTAAATCTTCTACTTCAATTGCTTTTTATTTCAAATTTTCAGTTAAATCTTCAAATTGTTGATTTTAAGATCCAATGTGAGCTTAAAGCTCTTTTATTTTTTATTCTAATCCTAAACTTTTGAGTCTCCATTCTTCACATTCTATACTTTTCTATTATAATGTCTAAGAGGATCTCTCCAATTCACTTGTTAACATTTCAATTCTATATTCAACTTCAACTTAATCTGATTATTACATGTGTCTGTTAAATTAAATTTTAAATATAAATCAAAATTGTATTTACAAAAATATATCACCCCTACAATGGAGGTAGTTGGATACTTTATGTCAACATTTTTCTAACTTCCTTCAATGCTAAACGTACATCTTCTGCTTTTTTCATCACAATTTATTTCAAAATTGGACCTAATTCAGCTAAAGCTGTATCATTTTAATCACTGTACCATGTCTTTATAAATATTCCATTATCTGGTTGATTTTAAAAATTATCAGGAACATTATCAACAATTATACATTTTGAAAGATCTCTTCCTAATCTAGAAAGGTCTTTTATAAATTAATTTGAATATTGTAAAGCATGTTATCTAAATAATCTGTATGAAATATTTTTGTTTTTATCAACTTAATCTAAAACCCAATTAGCATAATCAGGTAAACCAGCTGTAAATACTACTAATTCATAATATTAACTCATTTCTTGTAAGAATTGATGAGTAAAAGGACGAATTAGAAAATGTCCTGTCTAATCTGTAAAATGTATTAAGGTTTCATCCATATCTAAAACAAGAGTATATGTTTTTGGATTTGTATAAGGAAGATAAGGAAAAGGAGCTACACAAATTAATGGTATTCCTAATAATCCTTAATAACTTTATTAGATAGTAAAGTAAAATGAAATGAATTCTTATAGATTTCTTAATGATTCCTTTATTGTGTAATTTTGTAGACTTCTTAAGAAGATAATTAAAAATTAATATAAATCTCTCTAACTTTTTGTTAAGGATTTATAGAGGTTTTGTAATAATTCTATGTTCTATTTAATGTAAGTCCAATAATCATGTTTTTTAGTAATACTGTTTTTTTTGTTTATGTTAAATTACAATTAAGAATACAACTACAAATAAAGAGGGTATTCAGGCTTTTCTTTAAGTTTCTCTAGTAAAATATCAGAAAGATGACTTAAATTTTAAATATTGTAAAGTAATATATTCTTTATATTACTAATACTACTTAAATAGAAATGGAGATCAAAAAAACAATTCACTAAGACAACAATCTACAATATTAATAGAATTACTCCAACACGTAATATTAAAAATATTTATCTAACTTGTTTGGTATGTTCTTGTAGCAATTCTTCTAGATATTAAAATCCAGTATCTTCAGTCAGTTCCATATATTAATTTATTTAATTTATTAGTTCTAGAGTAGTATTCTTACTTTATTAGTTTCAAACTCTTACTTTTTTCATTGAATTTAAAAGGGAATTCATGATTTCATAAATTTTAATGAAGATTTTTAGATTTTCTGCTAGAGTTTCTTCAGCATGATGCAAAGGTTCTAAGGTTGCGAAAGCTTAAGTTTAATTATATATATTACATTCAGATCTGGCATTAAAATCTTGACCTTCTTTTCTATTTTTTCTTGGAGGAGTGGAAGCTCTTTATTCACCTTCTGCTTAACTTGTTTCTGATATTAGTTACAAATGTGGTTTTTAAGGGGAACTCTTTTATAGCCTATTATCCTTTATTTCCATTTTTTTGAAACTTAAATCTACTTCTAAAGCCTCCTCAATCCTACTATCATTTAATCTTGGATTTTTTATAAGACGATTAAAATCTAATGATTTTTTTGAACTTCTAATGACAGAAGAAGGTTTAGTTTGTTTCTATTCAATGATGGGAAATTATGATTCTCGTGGATCTTTGGCCTAAGAGATTGATTGTATTTATCTACTTGTGAGACGGCTCGAGCAGGTCTGGTTTTTATTGTGGTTTAGTTTTTTCTCATAATTATAATAATTTGAAAAAATATCAAAGTGATGATGATCTTTTTTTATTTGATATATTTTTAAATTCTATATTTTTGAGTCTTTCTTCTATTTTACATTTATTATAGAGAGCATAGGCAATCTCCATTAAATTTTGAGAAACATTTGATTTTCTATGT